GGAATTACCGCCGAGAATTACCAGGAAATTGATTTCGTTGCGAAAAACGTAGAATTTTGAAGAAAAGCCTAAGCCTTGGGCTAAATGGAGTTTTTGCGTTTTCACCCTGAAACAGAAGTTAGGCCGCGGCGCGGCCGTATCTGGCTATTTGTTAAAACCAGCGATTGGGGCGGGGCGCGTACCAGACTTCGTAGTCTCTTTAACGGATTTTCCCGCTGCCAAATAGCACCACCCAAAAGTACGGTATGCCATTTCATCGCCCACTTTTCCACGCCCCATCGCCACAAGTTGACAAAGCTCGTACCATTCCTCCCATCCACATCCCCCACGCTCCTTTCATCCATCCCTTCCCCAAAATAGGGTGTTTCGCCGAGGGTGGATGAGGCGAAGACGAACACCTTGGTGTGTGCGCTAATGCCCCGTGGACGGTCCGAGTTTTCTAGTGGAGATGGATGCGAGGAGCGGAGGGGATGAAAGGCTCGTGTCGGCTAGAGACACCCTACAATTAGTCGCGCCTCGCCCTCCACAAAAACCTTTCCTTCCAGGCCTTGATGATGGGGGAAAGGGGGGATGGCCCGATGACCGGTGGAGATTGTGGATAGCAGATATTTGTCACCTGGACACGTGCTGGACAAAACCCTCCTTCAAAGGGCGGTACCGGAAGAATGGGGCGGAAGAATAGGGGGGTGTTGTAGCAAGGAGGAATGCGGAGGAAAGAAAATGGAAATAGGATGTGACTAGGGTTACGGTATCGCAGATCAAAAATTTAGTTCTTCAACCAAGAGTCAGAATGTTCGTAAGAAGTGCTAATCAATTTCAGTAATTTGCGATGTATCTGATATGCTAATGCTAATATCGTCGAAACTGAAAAATCACGCTGAATACTGTAGGTACACAGCTAAAGAAAAAAGCTATGCAAATTAAAACCAAAACAAAACTTATTAAAAACATTTACAGCAACGTAGGTATCTGCCAGATCGGATTGACTGGATGCTTGTTTGGGGCGGTGTTAGGCCACCCCCTCCTAGTGGAGATGATGTGGCCATAAGCCAGCCCGGGAAATGATCACACACGTGTTTGCCCTCCACACAGCGCCTCTGGGAAAGGCTGTAAAGTCGCTGAATTATACGGAGCACAGGTTATGAATCAGTGGAGGAGGGTGGATCGGGGCAAACCACCCATCCGAGTTATCATAGAGGTCACAGGAATCGTCTCGAGGCTGATCGGGAGTGTTTGAAGACAAAGGTAAGGGTGTTTTACGAGGGTATGACTTGTTGAACATTAAGTGTTTCCTATAGGTCACCTAAAGCGCACCTATAACGCGCATAAAAACAGGGTTGATAAAACCGCTTCGCGACTTTTGAACTGCCTTGTGCAGATAACAATAGGCAACTGTATATTTCGCATCGCAAGAAATCCTTTTCTATGCGCACTCTTTTCTATCGCAAAGCTTTAACAAAACTTAATTTAGTGATAGAAATAGGCGTTTTTAAGGTTTTTGACCTTCTTGCGGTTAAACCGTTAAACCCCATACGTAACAACGTAAGTTCCATCCATCCACACACACAAATATAAGTAATAGGATTTCACCTACTACCGCGGAAAGAGAAAACCAGAAGCCGACCAAATGACCAAATCCTCCCCCATTCGCCATGTCCAAAAATCCTTCCATCAAATTGCTGCCGCCCCGGTGTCGGGATTGGCTGTACCCGGTGGCACAAACGGCAAGCCTGCTATGGTTGCCCCCCAAAATGGACATGTCAACATTGATGACAGATGGGTTGTCGTCGGCGCAGGTGGACCACGACTAACCCTTGGGGGAGGCATGTTCCTTCGACCACCAACGGCTCTTCTTACAAGGCCAATATCAGTATCGACAGGTGAGTGACTAATTGTCTGTCCGGGAGGTCGTTTATCCCTACGCCGGGCAACCGGAAATCTGGCGCGAAGAATGCGCGACTTGGCTGACAATGCTACCGTATCCAGCAAAGAAAAAAATAAACCAATACCTAAGACGCTGGATAAGTTATGATACTAAGGATTCCTAGTAAAGACTAAATTTCAGACTTAAATATGGAAATTTGTCAAAAAGTAATATGTCAAAACTTTTAAACATCAGGTTCCTGTTATTAGTAAAATTCGATTTGCTTAAGTTAAATTAGACTAATAAAAGTAAACACAGATTAAGGTACGTAAGTATGTAATAACTAGAAATCTGGTATCCTAATGGACAAAAAAAATGGTAGTGGAATGCGAATTAGATAATAAAACATAGATTTGGACATGTTTTATACGAAAAGTTTGTTTAAAATAATTGTTTTCTTGTATAGTGAAATTAGACATTCCACGCTCAATAAAAATTAATTTGGTGCTCAAGGCGATCGCAAGCAAGGCATGATCAACAACAACTACAATACACCATCGGGCATCCCAAATAAAATTACCAAGCCAGAATTAGAACACAAATATATTGCATACAAGTGGAGCCGCCCGCACCCAAAAGTGTATCCACCAATTTAAAATTAGCCTGATTCCCCGGAAAGTGGGTGCTCGCTGCCCGGCGCGGCGGAATTGGCACTTTTGGTGTGGGGCGTGAGCCGGGTCGACTCGGATTTCATAGGCCGGAGGGGCATGGCAGAAGAAACAATGAGGGGTCACCACAATTAGACGTATCGAGGCGCGGTATCCCTGAAATTCGAGGAGCGGGTTTGCGGCTCGGCATTAGGGCTATCTGGGGGATTGTGGCATCTTTGGCACCATTGTAGGGGAGGATGGGATAGAGAGGGAAGTTGGAGCTCGGTGGGTGGGTGAAAGGACAACGCCGAAGTATGCCGAAGTGGTTTTGAGGTATCGTAGGGTATCGATACGGTACGGCATTTCGCCTAAACCTAGTTCGCCTAAAGTTTTACCATTCTAATAACTAAATTTTTGAAAAAAAAACAGAAATTTGAAATTCCTATTTCAAAGCCATGTAAATTGCTATTATTTCCACAACGAATTTCATGCAGCATGTTAAAAAATTAATATAAGTCTTAAAAATTGCAAAAATGCTGACGTTTTTGGAAATTCAGCTATGAAATAGTCAAACATTTAAGCAGAGCGGGTTTTAGGCAGAATGAGCCGCAGGCCAAAATTGGTGTAAGCTAAATGGATTTACGTGAAGTCACCGGGATTCTACAGTTACCCTCGAGGTGGAGAATATATCAGGATTTTGAGAGGGTAACTTAGAAGTTTCTAATTTAGACAAACAATGTAAAGATTGTCTGACCTAATCTCCAAAAGTATATTTCCCTACTGACAGCTCAATCGATAAAATGATACGTGGAAGAAGCATCCAGGCGGTAATACAAAGCAAACTGAGCTCCGAGACCCACCCGGCCGACTTAGCCGATGTGTGTGTCGGAAGCCAACCAAGTGACCCGTGTCGAGGATGGGCCTATTTGAGGAGCCGATTAGCACATTGCCCCCCTCCACCCGCACATCCATCAACCAGTGTGCCGGCTCGCTGCTACGGTAAATAATCTAAATTCTAAGTGACAACCGCAAAACACCAGACTTTCAAGCAGGAGTTAAGTGTATCGCACTGAAAATCTTGTGGTGGTTACTTAGGAAAATTTGAAAAAGTTGTACCCACACTAGGATCATTTCAGGATCTTATAACCCACAAAACGGCAGCCAACCCCCCTGCCCGGGCAGCCCTAAAGAGAAGCAGAGTGCGCATTTAGTAGCCAACAACTGTTCGTTTTTGCAGGTCCTGCGCAAAATTATGTGCCTAGCCGACATAAGAAGGGCGGACATGTGGTTCGTGGAAGGGAGGGGGGTACGGCCCACCAACAACTCAAAAGCTCTACTAATGGGCATATCGGTGGTGGTGAGGAAGCTAATCGGGGTGTGCTTGGGTTGATTATCGCAGGGGAAGGGGTAGATGATACTGATAAATTGATGGTGACAATTTGCCGGTAGGGAAATGGGGGGAGGGGCTAAATGAGCGTATGAAATTTCGGATCTACTAAAGGTGAAAGTCATAGACTTCGAAAATGTTGCTTGGGGCGTAAAAACAATATAGCGAACATTTCAAAAATAGGGGTTTAATCACGTTAACGAATGGCACGAAAGTTTATTTGAAATTAATCACATTTCAAACACTTTGTAGCTATATGAAAGCTTCACAGTTGCAAGTTATGCTCAATTAAGGAAAAGTTAATTCGAAGTTTCTCCCACCACAATACCAGCCGTTTGCCGGCCAACAGTGCTTCCAGCCTCTACCCACCATTTTTTACACAACCGACTCCTGCTGGTGGCAGCTCGTCACTCCGTACATCATATTGCTCAGACAGTTAGTGGCTGATTCGGGCCCTATTCTGCGCACCTGTTCAGGTCAGTCACTAAATGGCCGACTTCTCAAACAGCCAATGATTTACAACAAAAAATAGACACAGGTCAACCTGACGAAAGATTGCTTTGAGCGAAATTTGCCAGAAATTGGGAAATCAGGATGCAGTCCCTGAGAATTCGAAATGAAAACTTGGAGATCATGAAAATACTAAGTTATAATTTTCGTGATTCCGCAAGGCAATCGCCTATAAAACATAGGATTTAAATACTTTCCCTAGCAATTCTCCACAATTTCATTCTCCAGTTCTGCTGCTTGAATCCCTTCTTCACAAAATGCTCCACGCTTTCGACCCCAAGTGAAATCAGCAAAAAGGTCCGTTCCACTTTTTGCTCATTGGCGCCGGGCCCATTCTACGCTTCGACTCGGACATGTTCCTTCGTCGGCATTGGTCAGCGATTGGCCATTGTGGAAACCCGAGACGCCCTTCTTTCCCGCTTCTTTCCCGCTTCTTTCCGCGTCCCCCGGCTACTCACCTTCTGGATCGGAAGGGGGGGTGTCGTACGGAAGGCCGGCTTCGAGTGCGCTAGGTCCATACCCCTTCTTCTATTCATCCGATCTTCCAACCCTACGCCCTCGATCGCGTTGTTTCTGATGTTTTGCGAATATGGCACAGACGTGCGAACGACTTGGGGCGTTTGTGGCGTTGCTCGCATTTTGTTTCAGGTTGGTGATTGGGTTGCAGGAAAAAGTAATTGGGGTTTGGTGATGTGGTTGTTTTATCGGTGGTTTTTGCGTAAATTTGGATGGGCCAGGTTGGAGATGTTACGTATATACAGGGTGTCCCAAAAAAAACGAACCATCTGGCATTTCGCCGTGTTACATCCAATCGACCCCAAATTTGGACCTGAGGTGTATCAGACCCTAAATAACAACAATCCTGGCTTATAGCCCTGTAGCTACAGTAATTTTGAAGTTACGGCAAAAACAAACTTTATTTTCTATTTTTCATAGGGTTTTCGTGGAATTAGACCCCCTAAACATTAAGTGAAAATGATCCGGTAGGCCTACTTTACCTTAAGAAATTTTTTCAGAGTAAAATGAATTAAATTAGCTTCGATTTAAGCGATTTTTACAACGCAAAATTACCCAAGCTCTTAAGCGAAATTAGGGATTCGCGGCCGGAAGTCGATGCAAATCGATGCAAAGTCCAAAAAGATAGCCGAAAAAACTGTTCAGCATTCCGGGAAAAGCAGTATTTTCGTTATAACTCGAGAACTACTATAGCTACGGGGCTGTAAGTCAGGATTGTTGTTATTTAGGGTCTGATACACCTCTGGCCCAAATTTGGGGCCGATTGGATGTAACACGGCGAAATGCCAGATGGTTCGTTTTTTTTGGGACACCCTGTACATCTGTTATCGAGATAATATAGATTTCAAAATATTCACATTAGGAAAACCCGATCCATCCCTTGTAAGTCTCTAATTTTTCGCATTTTAATTTTCCTCTGATTTCGATACCATATTTATATGCGTAAACTCTCTGATCTAGACGACTAAAATGCATGGAAGTTCGATTTTGATTATGACTAAATATTTTTATGAGGGGTTCTTTTGGAAACGTAATCGACGTTTCTGGATGGGAAAATATTTAATAATAAAAATATTCCGAATACTATTTCACTTTTTAGCGGCTCTCTATCCCTGGTTGCAATTTTTACTAGCCATTGGTTTGATGCGACCGTACTTACACGGAATGGCACGCAGATGGCTGGAGGGCACATTAATGCAGGGCTATTCTGGGGCAAGCGCACTTTGGAGTCGAGTGGAGGCCTGCTGACCGAGGATTTTAGCGGTACGCAACTTCGAAAACATTTCTGTTCCTTTGGTTTTTCAAAAATATCTTGGATTTTCAGTAGTTACCGATGTTCGAAATGGGATCTCATTTATGGCGCGACCTATCTGGGCGCTTTGTATATTTTTTGCAGGTGTTACCGATTCTATAGATTAATCTGTTATATTTTTAGCTCTCGGAATGCTTTGGGTGGCTGTTGGGTGTGCTGTAGCATTTTCCGCTACTATTACTCGAAGACCAGAATCGATCGCTGGCCCTATAGGTATCTACCTCTGGAGTCTGCTAGCTCGTAAGTGCCTATTTCTTATCCTTTTATTACTAATTTTAGTTGTAAGCTTCGGATCTTGTTTATTAATTTACTACGTCCAATTTATCGCCTCGATGACCGAAAATGTGTTGACAGATTCTTATTTGAAAACCGGTATCAGCACAAAGGACCAAACGAGGTAAGCCATTCCCCGCCAAAAATATCTTAAATTTTAATAATTTACTAGACTTGGCACGTCGTTCTATCTCATGTTAGCCTCATTGGCGATGCTCTATTTTCCGCCGACCTTCGTTTTCTTCACGCATCAGCAGCAGCAGAAAACTAATCGCATTCGGCAGTACAAATTTTGTGATCCAAACATTATGATGTATTAAAGGCGCTACGGGTTTTTGTTATGACATTTAAACCAAATTACGACGCAATATATTGAAATACGCAAAGTATCCAAACTAGATTCATTGCTCTAAAACAATTCCAATAGGTTCAGCGTTGCATGCGAAACTCGTCGCCTAGAATAATCTAGATCTGGGCGCCAAAGTCGTGGTTGGTGGCGAATTTTCATGGATCATTCGAGTTTTTATTTTTTGACAGCTACATGCCAAATTTAGGATTGCAAGCCTTCGGGGAGAGGTCCCATTTATTCGAATCTGAGACGCTGTGCTCTTCTCCGGTTTCCGGTTGTCCTCCGTGGGGGGGTGAAGGGCATGCCCGTTTTAGTTGGTGTCGGATGGTGTTTTCCGCGTTTTTAGCACAGCGTTAGCTGCGACTTTTTTTCATGTTCAGGATCAGATTGGGGAACCTGATACGGGGGTACTTGTTGTAGAATTTTTGCGTCGAGTTGATGCCGTTCACTAATGATGCATGTGATGAACGGATGGTAATGCGTTTTCCTAATCTCATTTATAAAGCTTTTTATCAAAATCTATAGGTCAAAATCTGTTGTGGTGCTAGCTTGCTAGACCACAATAGATCCTCTTTCCCGGCTGTCCCTCCTATCCAGTGGGTAAGCCACCGGCGCGCGCCCCCCTGCGGTCGCGTCGCGTGCGCCACTTCCCGCCTAAGACTAGATTGTATTATCTCGTTGCGGGTCCACTTATCGGCACAGACTAGCTCTGTTGCCGATCCTCCTGCCACCACTTTATGTAGATAAACAGTTGTTCGATAACTGTACGTCCGTGCGCATTCCACATCATTTCAAGAACACAACACTGGCGAGCAGGATCATCAAGAACTCACGCAAGAACAAGGAATTCCAAGCCAAGAAGCCACTCGTGCCCAAGGAACGTGATCAAGGATGAAGAAAGAAGGTCAAGCGCAAGAAGTCAAGTCAAGCCGACGAGACAAGGACCAAGAAAGCGACAAGGTCAATGAGAGCGACAAGGTCGAGGTCAGGGACATCTACATGGTTGGCGAGCGACAAGGAAGAAGGCATGGCGAGAAGATCGAGAAGCAGAGCGTGCAGATGATGGCCATCGATGGATGATGTGCCGGTGGCCGCTCGTGCAGGATCAGTTGAAAGGGAGGTGTTTTGTTCCCCTTTTTGCCCCACATTTTCGGGTGGAGGGCGCGCTGCCGTTGTCGATGAAGGAGGAGGGTGCAAGCGCAAAAAGAAGTGCCCGGCGTCCGGCCGCCGTTTTGCCCCAAGGACCGCCCAGAAGCCGCGAAGGTTGCAGAAGAAGAAAGAAGTTGGTTAGTCCTCACCCACGAAAGGACCGAAGGAGCGTGCTGAAGCTGGCGGATCATTGATGAATGAAGGGCCGCTGCCGCTGCCATGGACCGAAGGAGGTGCGCGTGTCAAGCCCAAGGCCGCGTCTACAAGTGAAGCCGAAGAACGAAAGAAGGATGATGGCCACGTAGTGTTCGTGCGCGTGTTCAAGGTTGAGGGAAGGATGATTGCCACGTCGTGTTCGTGTGCGTCGTAAGAAGAAAATAAGCAAAAATAAGTGTCATCTTATTTTTTGGTGTGTATTTCCATATACTGTAAATCCGGCTAAGCCTTATTGGTCTCTCCTGTCCCAATTTCTCCTAGGAACTTGTACTTTGTTGTTGTACAAGGGGGAGGTGTTGTGGTGCTAGCTTGCTAGACGACAATAGATCCTCTTTCCCGGCTGTCCCTCCTATCCAGTGGGTAAGCCACCGGCGCGCGCCCCCCTGCGGTCGCGTCGCGTGCGCCACTTCCCGCCTAAGACTAGATTGTATTATCTCGTTGCGGGTCCACTTATCGGCACAGACTAGCTCTGTTGCCGATCCTCCTGCCACCACTTTATGTAGATAAACAGTTGTTCGATAACTGTACGTCCGTGCGCATTCCACATCATTCCAAGAACACAACAAAATCAAAATCTATCTTCCAAAAAATCGGCCCCCTCTAGCGGTTCCGGGAAAGCTCGGATTCGGATGGTATTTACAGCATTAGAAAGCCCGCAAGACGGCGAGAAAACAAGCGCTTTTTTACAATTTTTTATAGCTCGCTTGATATTAAACGATTCCTTAAAAAAGCATGGAATTTGCGTCGTCCTGTTGACAATGAACATGCCGATTTTGCATAAAATTGAAGTCTTTATGGAGTTTGGTCCTAATCATCCTGAATTATGATGTCTATATTAAACAACGAAGAGTGGGTTTTTTTGGCGTTTCTAAGGGCTTTCTGTAGATACATAAATCTACATAACCCGACACTTCTGCGGCCCGTTACGTGGGTTGATTTTTGCACCACTTGTATATACTTTGGTTTCCGAAATAGTGCTATCTTTTTTCAAATCACGCTTGAACGTTCGCTTACCAACTTTTTTATAGCACCCAACGTCTCGAAAGTTTTTTTTTGCGCTGCCCGAAGGTGGTCCCGAACCGTTGGATGGAACCAATACTCCCAAAGACAAAATTCAATTGTGCTAGCCGCCGGAGCCCAGCAAGGCAAAGGGAGTTGCAGCTCGGGGGGAGAAAGACTGGCAAGTTGTCCTGGTCTCCCTAAATGGTCGGTGTGCCCAGCGGCACGGCCAGGGGCAGCTAGATCGTTTTTGCCCATGGCTGATAGGGTTTGGCGGCTGAAACGCGACCCTTCTCTCCCCCTCACCTCCATTATGGGATAGCCAAAATGCGTTTTTCCTCTTTTCAAAACCTGAGGTGGGGGGACACCCGTTTTTAGGAAGGGGGAAGGATAACTTCTCGGAGGTAAAGTACTTGCCACTCCGCCCTACAACCCCTTAAAACACGCCCCAAATTAGCTTTGTCATCAGCGATGGACACTGGCCTTTTACGAGGCCAATCCAGCGCTAGTTATCCGGTTTTTACTACATCTGTTTTTAGTAATTGTTACATGGGAATAGACAAGTAAACTAAACCGCGTGCGTGACAGGGTAGACGGGCGTGTATTTCCAGAAAATAACGAGCTATTCCAAATCCCATTTTTCAACGCTCAAATTGTTGTATCTCCGAACGCTTTACCGAGATTGTTCTAGAATTGTGGATTGCCCTTTGGAGAAATGACAGCAGAGATCCTGAAAAACGGCGCATTATTAGTCAGCGAAATTAGTCGGAATCTGGCAAATCCACCTCAGTTTTTGTTTTGATAGATGAACATTCATAGCTCCCAATTTTCGTCCTTATAATTGGTGGCGTCCGGCTGTTCGTTGGGCAATTATTTGTCGCGAAGTGCTTTGGAAACCACTAATTTCGGGGCTAATTTCAACTTGGGAAAAGGGGGATTTTCGCGGCGATACGTGGGGGATGCTGGAAAGCTTCTTCTGCGCTATAGAGCGGGTCCTGCGAGAAGCATGCAGCTAATTGTAGTATTGCGTGCCCATGCATCTTGTACCTGGTGGGGTGTATTTCGCGAGTTGTCAGCAGGGAGGGAATGCTTCAGATGGATGCTTCTTTATTTCTTGGGACACATTGTTCTTGCCACATTTTCTTTGATTCCCCAGGCTTGGCCCTTAAGGTTTTGTGCCGGACGGGGCGGATTGACGAAAGACGTCAATGTATGCAAATCGGCGAATAGGTGAGCGCCGCCCAGCGTGCACGGCTTGATTCCAATGTTTCGGCGAGTAGGTGTTTCTGCCCCGGGGCGATGCTTCGATTTTCTTTCATTCTTTCTCAAAAATCTTGCTGGTTTGGAATTTTAGCTGGCTTAAGACTACGTGGGTTCACGTCATGGGTTTGAACCCGGAAAAACGCCGCGGGTCGTTTTATTTGATGACTTTGGGGTCGAGTGGCCGGCTCATGGCGGGGATAATCTTTTCGTGAATCCGCTCCGATTAGGTCACATTACTCATTTTGTGCTCAAATTGTTTGAATCAGGGTGGTACAGGCGACGCCAAAATAAGTACAGAAGGAGAGGCTTGCCATTTTTAGAGGGTTAAATATTTTTTAGCTTCCGTGTCTGCTGTTTTGATTGTCCCTCACCCGTAGTTCGAATTTTTGTTAAGTACATGTGGGCTAAAACGACAATGTTTCCGTAAGCGTAATAATTTGAAGGGACAGAGCTTCTCTGCTACTGCTTAATTCATACATAAGGAATCATCCAAGAACGCAGCCATAGTTTACGACCTTGAAAGAACATATTCGATTATCTTCCCGCGTATCCTTTGAAAAGTGCTAGCGTGCGTGTCCGAGGAGGCCAATGGCCAATGTCCACCTCCAGCTCCCTCTCCTTCGTGTCCCACCTGGGCCCCTAAATGCCAAAGACACAAGAAACACTAAAGCCCCCCGCTAGCGGGTCTGCACTCCACTAGATTCAGCCCCATCCCCGCAGGCATTGTGACCATGTTTGATCGGGTGGGCCGGGCTTGGGCGCGAGATGCGTCCGCCCTCATTTCCAATTCGAGGGTCCCATTTCAGCATTTTGTTCTGAGGAAGGGCCCCCTCGCGTGCCGCGCACCTTCCAAAACTCGTCGAGCTCTGTGTCCCACCGCCCGGGCCCCGCCACGTGGGTTGCCCCACACCCGTTTATCAAATTGCTGGGCCCGCATCACAAACAACTTCTCGATGACCTTGAGTTTTGATGGGGGAAAGGGAGGTGCGAGGTGGGGGGGCTGGGGGCTCATCCACTTCGGGTGCCCGCTAAATAAGAGGCTTCACCGGGCACTTAGGGCTTTTCAAGGAGGTGATCTCTCGGGGAAGCACGTGCCAAGAGAAGATTTGCTTTGAAAAGCGATAGTTGTTTTTTATCAAGGTTTGTTTTCCTACGGCGTTAATCTAGTGTTAAACTTCCTTATTATCACGTTTTCTTGCCCAGCGCGCAAAAACTTCAAGCCCCCAAAATCGTTGTTTTCCTCCGAATGTGCGGGCTCCCAACCAGCACCTCACACCAAATTCACTCCTAATTGTTCACGGAGCCCCAACCATGCGCCCAAAAAAGGCCAGAGCTTTGGTCCATTCCCGTGAAACGCCTGGCTACTTGGCCGTATGTTCCTCTTGCCTGGTGCGAAAACTAAGGAACTCAAATAAGGGAAGTTTTTGCCACGAGTTGCTAGGGATTGAGGTTTGTTCTGATGGAGAATACGGGCCAATAGTGAAGCCGTTCCGTCGCCAAACATACTGTAGGCAGGCGCCTCTTGGAGAGGGTGTGGGAAGGCGCCATCGCCATCGGGATTTGGCCCCTCACGCTATATTGATTGATAACATTCGTCAAAAGAAATATTTTCAGTTTTAGCAGAGATCAAAAGTGATAATTTACACATCGTTTGAGTATTCTCCCGTGAATGAATGCACGACTCCCATTCAAATCATCACAAAATCCAAGAACCTATTCCAAGCTTCCGATCCCTTTCCCCAAATGGATTGGGCTTTTTCGTGAAACTTTCAGTAGAAAGTGCTATCCAGAAACCCCGTGGTGCATATTCCCTAGATGCAACGAGGATCCAGTACCCTCATCCCCGGCTCAAAAAAGGTTTCATTTGCGGCTGATGGAAGAACCCATTCGGGAGTTCCCCTCCTCCCTCACCCTCCCCCCATCCTTTTCTACCAGTTCAACCTCGTTCCTGTCGACAGCGTTCAGTCTTCACCGTTGAATCCCCAGGGGACTGACGGCGGGCCTTTCACGCCGTCCATCCTCTTCATTTTTCCTCACCCATCTCGGAGGAGCTACCCTCATGGCTCGGTTTCCACTGCTTCTACTCCCCCCTTTGGGAGACTCAAACCGCCCTAGAGCCCGGGGCTGGCGCCTCAAAATAATGCGGTCAAGATGTTTTCCCATTCATGACTCCGCTTAGGTTCCCGCTTCCATGCACGGCTTTGTGATATTTCGGCCTGGAAAGCGGCACCCCCCAACATCTACAAATGGGATGGCTTTATTCGGCAGTCGAAAACGCACGTTTTTAAGAATGATAAGATCCGTAGACAAAACTAAGCCTCTAGACTGTCATCCATTTTTTTTTAACCTGCGGTGGCGTATAATCCCAGGATGTCCTTTACACGACTCTCATATAGGCAACAAAACCCGCGCAACATCAACCGCTCACAATTGCTAACCAATTAGGCAAGCAATACTCTAACGCTCATAAATATGAATTAAACTCTGCCCCTTCGCCTTTCTTCTCATAACATTAATAACCCCCAGCGGGGACCAGGGGCGTTTTCCCTCAGCCCCTAGGTTGCAACATTTCATTTTGACCTGCCGGGTGTCGAACAACGATTCTCCGTCCTTTATGAATGCGCAACGAGATCGGGGCGTTGTCGGTGGCGACCCGTGAAATTCCAAACCTTTGCTGATGCCGGATGATGTTATGGGAGGCGTTTATTATTGGCCATTCTATAGCCAGCGTCAAATCCTCCTCTTGTCAAGGACTTCAATCTATTTTTACATAAAAACCACTCCAATTTCCGAGGCTTCCTAACTTCCGCGCCGCCGAAAAGCTCTTAAGCAGCCCGGGAAAGCAGCCGATTATCCGGCCTTAATTTTGGTGAAAAGAGATTTCCGTCTGGTGCTTCACTGGGTCTTGCCAGCGCTCATTAGGCAATGTTCCTCCGGCGTTCGTCTGGAAAAACTTGTCTGTAATTTGGCCCGTTGCCGCGTGGTTGGGCTTCTGGGGCTAGTGTCTGAGTCATTGGGTGGACAGACCTAGGCTATTTGGTTCAAGACGGGGCCCTGGCGGCCACATTTTTTCGTCCTGGTTTTTGGGCGGCGTGCGTGATACGGTGGAGATGTAGGTTTTTAAGTGTCTCAGCTACAAATTTGGGGAATGCGGAGGGCCAGGATTGGGCAAGGGGATTTTTGCTTACTCACTGGTTTTACGATACCTACAAAGATCGGTCCACAGCTTTGGAATATTGATGTTGTGATTGAAAATTTAATCTTGTTTACCGTAGCTTTGGGGGCGTCATTAGATAACCCCTCATCGGGGAAATTTGATGTTACTAGAAAAATGACGCGACGACGTTCGGAGTCAGGTCGCGACAGTTCACAGCGCTCTAAAGTTACCACTGACTCCTTCTCCTTCATTCTAGTCCCTCCACCCGACACCATCTGATTTGTCGTTTCGTTTCGCCAGATTGAGAGAAACCGATTTTTGCCCTAAGCTGGTGGGTCGCAGCGTGGTGGTGGGGCCATAAGGGTGGTCCCAAATTTTCCCCATCGCTTCCCACAATATCGGGTTTTCAGAATAGGGGGAGGTGGTGGTAGAGGTGGACGTGGAAGAGAAGGAGGAGGAGGACGGGAATCTTGAGAATGCGCGAAATCTTTCGCGGGCAAAGGGGTGGGGGAGCATTCGGGTTGGATGAACACTCGCGGGGGGCCCGCATGGGCCAGAACCGGGAGGGAGTGTGGGGGACCCTGTGGGCCACCTACAACATCTTCGGCGTCGTCGTCGTCCTTCGGGAGGGGGGTGAGGGCTCGTTATCTCGCTTCACTTCGCCGAATTTCCTGCCGGTGGCGTGCCGTGAGCAAGCTGAGCTCTCTCCCTCCCTTTCTTTGGTAATGGCTTTTCCTCTATCATCCCCCATTTTTCCCACGCCTCCCATCGTTGATATCGCCTACCAGTGTAATTATTTCAACTTCATAAATGGCGCCCAGCTACCAAGTAGTCGGTTAAAGAACATTGGGGGGCGTTGCGTGACTGGTTGAATGGCGCCTTTTTCTGTATTGTCGATCTGAAAATAAGGCGTACCTGCCACACGCCAACCGACAAATGAGGCAGCTCCCTAATTTATGGCCATTCTCTGGCCCGCCCGCCCGCTTTGCCAGTCGTAATTTCGGGTTATGCTAGGTGTGGGGAAATTATGGCATCGGCTTGCAAAATTCTGGGCCAACAGTGGGGGGGATTCATCCCAAATTGTTGATTTTGGGGCAAAAAACCCGCCTACGAGTTTATATTTAAGGTACGGTTTTGTAGGAGCTCTTCACCCCAATTAGAAGAAATGTCATGTTCCGTACATGGCGCATGTACTCGGCGCAACCGTTTTTTCAGAACTTCCGCAAGATCTACACAATTCCTAATGCAAAACTTTTTTCTGAGTATGGCCTTAATGGACTTTCACTAATGTAATTTCCACACTAATCCAACCCCGACCATTCCAATTCGGCTTGGTCTCGGTCATTTTCTTCTAACAGACTTTGGTGGCCCTTCTGCATAATTAATGGACTCCAAACACACAAAAGCCAGCGTACAGCTACTGACAGCTGCTTTCTACCCCCAACTCTCTGCTTTGTTCCAGACCGTGCAGTCAACAGGTCGCATATTTAATTAATTTTTGAAAGCAGGCCATCTTTTTCCCAAAACACACCTGGCGGCTGAAAACGGTTTTCGGTTCGCCACCAGAAAGGGCGCTAGTATTAGTGGAGCGCTCCCCCATTTTGCACAATTTCCAATAGAAGTGAGAGTTCCGGGTTGACGCGTTAATTTGAATGCGGTTTGTGCTGTGGTCTCTATTTAAGGATAGGCCTTCTCTTTTTCAATGGCCTTTTGCGGGTCTCGACAACGAACGGGTCGCTGACAAAGAAGACACATTGCGAGCTCATCAATTTTTAACGGCGCACAATGGCCCTGGGGGTATGGAGTAATTGAAAAAGCACTGTATCTAGTGAAGGGTCGGTTGGTGCTGCCCTAAAATGGGCCATTTCAGACTGACTAATTGATCCCATATGCTTTTTGTTGACGTTTTCGTGGGCTCGTTCACTCAAGTGCACTCCATGGGAGGGATTTTGGCCACATCTGCTTACCCTCCAACCGGCACCTGGGGCCAATCTTTCTCCAAAGTTTATTTATTGAGCCCCCCTGCTGGCAATAGACGCGAAATTTATTTGTCGGTGAGCCTGTTCTCAGGGCTAGTTAATAAAATACTATTGGGATGAGCCCCCGGGGCGAGCCATTCACCCATAACTCGTCCCATGGGAATTCCTAAATTACTCATAGCTGCTTCGGGGCGCCCGAGCAGCATTTTTATCTTGCCGTACGTTTTTGACACAATATTTTTTTGGTTGGTTTTGTTGCGTTGGCCCCTAATTATAGGAAGAAACTAGAATTTTGCAACAGATAATTGTAGGGAAGATTGGCCAGGTTTTTGAACTCTGAGATTCACGGCGAATTTTTCATTTGGAAGTGGTTGAGGCGCTTATTCTGAATGTGATTCCACACGCTTTACATTGTTCGTTGGGATGAGGGTGGGAGGGTAATCGGGTAATGGGTTCTCAGGGTGCACGGGTTTCTTTGTGTCCGGGAGGTTTTGGGGGGTGGAGGATGAGGAGAATGAGGTCTTCGGGGTTGGGTTAAGGGAGGGGAAGGGAAGGTAGAAGCGGGGTGACGCTGAGCATGGGTATTGGGTGGAGGGAGGAAGTCTTCTGATTCAATCAGGAGAGCCGAGCCGATGGGACAAAGAGCTTTCACCTCTTTTCCGTTACTAGCTTCAAAAAAAAATGGGTGCATATTGATAATTTTGGCGCAACAAGCGTTGGTTTCTTCGATTTGGAAAGATCTCCTGTTATTCATGTGTAAATCAGCACTCTATTTGGCCAAATTTCAATATTCCAAGTTGCTCTCCTCCGTGCAACACTGCAAAATCCCTCCTTATCTGATTAACACCCACGAATTTAATGACCATGTCATGCCCCCTGTTATTCACACCTTTCCGGCGGCACGTCGTTCTTATCGTTAAACCACTGATCGCTAGCTATACCCTCCTCCTTTCAATTTTTTTGAGTCCAATTCATTTCTCTCAGTTATTTTCTATGATTTCCAGGCAATGGATTGGCCTGCCGATCGGCCGTCCTCCAGCCATGCACCCAATGACACCAACGAGTCGGTCGGGGCCATGGATCTAGCCGTTTTCGCCGGTCTCGAGACGCTCGGCACACTGGCCATTGTCGGCAATTTGTCGCTGATCGTCGTGCTGCTCAGGAACAAGTATCTCAACAGAGCCAGGTGAGGATTACGCTGATTTGTGCTCCAGAGTGCATCGGGAATGGATTTGGTTCAATATTGTGTATGTGGGATCGGTTGGGGGGGGGGAGATCCCCGGGCTTCACATTTGCTCTCGGCTATTCAAAGGTTGACCCTGGAGAATTAGATCCGGCAGATTCAATATCCGCTTCTGAGGGGAGGCCGTCGATCCTCAGTACTAGGGGGAAGGGGGGAGGCTTGGCTACGCAAAACACAAAGTGGCAAAAAGTGTGGGTCTGAACGAAAATCGGGATTTTTTTGCTGAGCCGTTGTAAAGCGTACCATATTTCTTAGTTCATAGAGATTCAGAGTATCTGATATAATTTTTTACAATACATTAAAACACCGAAAATTGGAGGTAAGATATAATTATTTTGACCAACGGATCCTTTTATCCACTTCAATCTCCTTAAGACCTGTCTCGATAGCGTGGGAGAGCAGACATGAAGGTCACAACATTTATTCGGAGCGTGTCCCCGGTGGGGTGACACCTCGATGAAGTAAATGAGGACTGGGAAGCCGGGGTCGGAGCGGATGACTGAAGCAATCACAACGAGAAATCGGGGCTTTATATACCAGGGAACACAGGGAAATCAGGATGTAAATGAGGGGAAGGGATGGTTATTGACTTGGTCTTCCGGTCATTCAGCATGCGCATGCAGTCGCGGGATCGCGACACTCCCGGGGGACGAGGCTTCAACGGCAGTAGTCGAACGGCCTGCAGACGACCCGCGGTGGCAGACATCGCTGCTTCTTGACTCGTCGTCACGCACGTCGTCAGCCTTGAACACGATGGAGTTGTCCTTGATCACGCGAAGTTGCCCTGGTACACGATGACGTTGCCCTTGAACACGATGAAGACGCCCTGGGTCACGAGTAGACGCCCTGGCACACGTGATGTTGCCCTTGAACACGAGAAGACGCCGGCCGCCTTGATCCTCGCGGTGGCGAACGGATGACGGGCACGGAATACATCAGATGGACACGGGTACGTGGCCCTCCCGGGGGCGGCGTTCAGCATCACGTCCGAGTAGATGTCGACCGGGATCCCACGGGGCACCACATGTCTCGATAGCGTGGGAGAGCAGACATGAAGGTCACAACATTTATTCGGAGCGTGTCCCCGGTGGGGTGACACCTCGATGAAGTAAATGAGGACTGGGAAGCCGGGGTCGGAGCGGATGACTGAAGCAATCACAACGAGAAATCGGGGCTTTATATACCAGGGAACACAGGGAAATCAGGATGTAAATGAGGGGAAGGGATGGTTATTGACTTGGTCTTCCGGTCATTCAGCATGCGCATGCAGTCGCGGGATCGCGACAAGACCCCTAACTATCAGGACAACATATAAAAAAATGCCGATTTACATTTTTTTTAAATATATACATTTTTGACAGGTTCTCCCAGGGCAGTCGATTATAGTTAAAGATCGGATTGAATTTGGAATAAAAGGAGTTACGGTGTGCGCTAGAAATCATAGCAAATCATCAATCAAGCTCGTTTCCCTGAAATAACCCTTCTATTCGAATGTTCAACCCCAAACACCCACCCAACTCAGCTTTCTCCCCACCGAAAGGGCAACTTGTCAGATTTTCTCCCATCTGCACCGAGGTGCGAAAAAAGGGGGCAAGTTTCGAGGCGTTCCGCAGGGAGCCGCCAACCCAGAGGGCCCACACAGCCCTTTACCCAAACGTTTTGCATTTCCTGCTTCTGGCCACGGCCAGGGGCCCCCATGGGCTCCCGGGCGGCCAATTCGAATTCCCTGCGCGGCCATCATAAGGGGGGAGAAGGACTGGACTGGAGAAGAAAAAGGGGGGCAACCTTCTATCTACTACACCCTTCCTATCCACCGCTCAAATCTCAGCGACCAAGCGCGAAAAAAAGAATATGAGGGGTGGTGTGGAAATGGGGGTAGAAACGCAAAGTATGCTGATAGTGCTTAACGTAATAAAGGGGAGTTATTGAAAGAGACCTTAAGAAATTATTCGGCGCCTCAATTGACACGGATTTACGCAGAAATCCATCAATGTTGCTCAAAAAGTACCCTTTTAGCGAACAAGAAAAAGATTGGATGGTGACAATTTTTATATCAATCGAAAGCTCCCTAAATCTCGAATACGATAAAACAAACTCTTCTAGTTTTCTATAATTATTGGCCATTTGCTTAAAGTTACATATTTTCCTCCAAAAGTCTCTAATTTTTGAGGGCGAACGGCAATTCGTATACCAAATTCGCATAACACAGTCATTAAGGCAAAAGTTTTGCATTCAAGTGTTTTCGATAGATACCGAAATCATCAAAATTCGACGTTTTGACCGAGCCGTTTGGAAAGGGAGATGCTTTTCCGCATTGTATTTTTCAGATCGCCTCAAGCTGCTTTCATAAGCTCTTTAACTGCTTGCTTTAACTGCTTTCTTCAACTGCTTCCTTTAACCTACCATCTCTGCAAAATTCGATCTCGTCTCTACCCCCCCCACTAGCTGCACTCGGATTATGCTAATCAACTGCCCAATGCCCCTCCTCCTTCTCGGATTTGATCGTTTGCCCCACCACCACTTTCCCATCCCCCCCTCAATAGCCTCCACTTAATTCGATATGTGAGAAGCGGGCGCATGCCAAAAATGGGAGCTCCTTCGGCTTGAGGGCCTCCGGGGCGGAAGGCCCGAGTTTGTTTTTGTGCATTCGGCCAGAGCGGGGCCGTTGATGAAACTTTTGAAATGGGCATGGGGATGAAAAGCTTGGCGGATGGGAGAGGAATGTGGAATTCATGCTTTCGAAGGTGTGCGGAGTTTGGCCACTCTAAGTTTTGCGCGGCGCACAAGGTGTACGGGGAGGGTTATTTTTGTTGAATTATTTGCGCGATGCGAGGGGCACGTGCAGCCAATTCAGGGAATGAATGGGAATGAGGGGCGTTGTTATTTAAAAATGCTGGAATGTTGCCAATGAGTTGAAAACCGGAAAAAATGGGATGTGGAGGGGAGAAATGATTAAAAATGAAAAAGCCAAATTTCAGCTTCATCCTGATGCTGTCCTTGGCAATAGCTGATGTGCTACACGGGCTGGTGACTACGTGCTACTTCTATCCACCAATAATTCTCAAGCGACAACATATCCCGCCCTTAGGAATGCGGCTTTTCAATATTGTTGATTGGACGGCATGGGCGATTACCTTAACGTTAGTATCACCCTAAAATCCCTAAAATTTAATCTTTAGACACATGTCAGCTATTTGCCTTGATCGTTTGATAGCTATCATGCTATACGATCGCTACAGTATACTGGTGACTATCCCAAGGGTACGGTGGTACAGGTAATCAACCTAATAAAACTTTAAATTGTCGTTATTTTAGTATATTCTGCTGGGTTTCATTTTTGGGGATCAATATCGCAATATTCTTTATGAAGTTTTGCTGTATAATACAGCCACTACGATCGGAAAACTACTACACTTTTGGCTACGATACTCACAGTAAGTCAAAATTCAGCTGCTAATCGTTATCTTTAGCCGAATGGAACTTTTATGTTCTATCGTACACCCCACTTGAGATTATTACAATTGGGGTTTTATCAGTCAGGTATGAATTTCTATTTTTGTTAAACATGTTTTTTAGTAATCCAATCACTTTGGTACAACTCTATCGACGTCATAAACGAAAAGTGGCCCTCCGAATGTATGTCCCCCTTATTTTTATAGTGCTATGCCCCCAGTTTTTGATAGCCAACGCCAGGCTTATTAGATTCCTACTACTATCAGTCGGTTATACATTGCACTTTTAGCACTTTTGGTTTACATTTTTGCCAGGCCGGCGCGAGTGTCAAGTGGTTGCACCGTGGACTTTCTTTTTTATTTTTCTTTCTCTTCTACCGTCCTTGTCCGCCTAAGCAGGAACGTTCACAGCCTAGCTTCTTGACTGTGCGCTTTTCGGTTTTCTTTCCGGCCTTTTCTGATGCGGGGGAAGCGAGCAGGGTTAGCTGCCTTAAAAACGATAAAATCCATGTCTAAAAATTTGAAAAAACCCAAATTCCCTTATGTTAATCTAACCATTCGAATGAAAGTCCATGGACAAAGCACCTGTGCTCGCGTTTCGGTTTAAATTTGATTGGAATTTCCCATTGTTTTTGTAGCCGACGTTTCTACGGGGTACACCGTAGAGATATCAGCTAGATTAACCCGTCAAAAAGACCCCAAAAATTGGGGGAATCGTTGTAATTGAAGTGCGGCGTCATTGATATAAGGTATGGCGTGTGGACATATAATCCCGGTCCCCCAACCGTCCCTCCAAATCCCGAACGTAATTTCATTCGCTCCTCACGGGTTCATGCGAGAGCCCTCAGTATTTGTAGGCAGGGAACACAGAAGGTGAGCGCCGACTCGAATCCATCACTTCTGAAGTCACAACGATCACAGTGGCAAAGGTATGGATTGTCACTATGGTCCCCTACAAAGGATGGCAAGGCAGTTAGGCTAGACGGATCGGTTGTTGGTATGATGGATGGTTCAGTTGTAGAGCTTTTAATGGATGCAAAGCTAAGAAAATTGACGTTATTTGACGTTTGTTTTATCGCAGTTAGAAATTTTGCTCTTACAGCAGCACCAGTTTTATAATTTTTGGAGAAATTTGCATACTAGAGGGCTGTGTCCCTGACCAGGACGTGCTCTCTGACCCTACATGCATGCAAACCCTTCCACACTTCAGAGAAAAACGGCGTTGCGGATAAGGCCCTTTTCAGGATATTGGGCCACGTTTTGATGCCCGTAAACTAATTAGGCGAAAATGCTATTTTAATTTTAAAAATTATCCGCAATTTACTTAACTTAACCATCATATCAACAACCTGCAAAAGCGTGGCATGGAGAGACTGGCCGTCCCTCCTTTGTTAATGCCGTCCGGCTGGGATAGTTGATATACAAATATCATCCCCCACCTATTTTCTGGGTTCATTCCCCCCGAACGATACCCGTGTACCCTGTGTTCTGGATGAAATGGGATCTGTTGTTCGGTTAGCAGAACGGATGCTATAGAAAAATTAGTTAGACATCTTGTCGCATAATTACTCAAAAACCTGGGGGAAATTTGAAAAAAAACACATTTTTCTAAGCACAATCTGTCTAAAAACTAAACCGCCTATTTCCGGCCTGTCCTATACATAAATAACAAAACGATTTCCGAAAGAACCCTATTCACGGGGTACCTTGGTATACAATCTGACGGCATCATACTATAGGTGTTGCCCGATCAGGTTCCTAACCGTCAACCAATTACGCAGGTCAGTTCCTAGTGTCCACCCCTCCACCCTTCCCCCCTTTTCTCAAACTGAGGCTTAGCCGTGCCGTGTTTCTACTTCTCAACAAATGACAATTCCATCACTTTTGCTCTGCCTCCACCACACACCAGTTTTTCGAATTGCCACTCCTCAACGCTCCTGTACACCCGTCCTTCACCTTGTCGATTTTTTCGATCGCCTTCTCGAATAGCTCTAACAACTATTATTATTTTGTTTCTTTGATTAGCACAATTGGGTTGTGGTGTAGAATTTTTTGATTTTGTCTTTTGATTTCAAAATTCGTTCTTCAAATCAGCCACAGCCATTCACCACAATCCATCCCTAGCCTCTTCTACTTTATAATTTGCCGTGCTACTCTCAAAAAGTTTTGTGGACCTCTTCCTGAGTTTCTGTCTTATCTACCTCATTTGCATACCATAGTCAGAACTAGACCTGGAATTCTTGAACTCTAGGCACAACTAGGCCTCGCTTTCCCCTGAACCCACTGCCCCGATTTCGAGCTTATCCATTGAGCCCAATCTTGAGCACGAACCCACCCGAAAAATTACAGCCGCTTTGCCAACGCCCTCACGACGCTTGAGGATGAGGACTCGGAGAGGTAACATCCCCCACCCCCGAGTGCCCTAGAGATCATCCTCCTCTTTGACCTTTGAGATGGTCGTTTTAAGATGTTTTCGGGGTTTGTATTGGATTGAGTAGTGTTTTATTTACTATGTACGATATAAAGCTATACAAAGCCATGAAAAAGCGGAAATAGAACTTCCTCAAGCCGATACAAGCCTTCCTGACCGCCCCTTCAAAAATCCTTCGCCCACATCCTATTTTTCACTTGATTACCCCAGACTCACCTCCCTTCCATAGTTTTTCTAACTTTTTCGCACCTTCCAAAAATTGCATTCCACCTACAACCACCCCAAAATTCCCCGTCCCCCGCCTTGGCCGATCGTAGTCTCCCAAAAAAGTTGGGACCAACACGCACAAATTACACTCAAAACGAAAAAAACAACCACCCAAAAAACCGAATCAAAATAGCTAATGGCAACCCGGCTTCTAGGCTGCAGCCTACCGTGCGGATCCCGTCCAGAATACTGTCAGAACTTGTTGCTTCCTACTGTAGTCTAAAATGGCCCCCCGCTCGCAAAAGAGTTGTTGCAATGCCCCCCGAAATTGTCCAGCTGTCGTTTGAATGGCCCTGGATCGGTGAAAGTCCCTCTATAGAAATCTGCATGGCACCATTTCTCTGCATGAGGCATGTTGGCCCCTGGATGCACCCAAGCAAGCGTTATTTATGTGGGGATACGGTAATTTGAGGCTGTTTATAGATTATACACATATGTCCCACATTTCGGGTTTAGGTTTTAGATAAATCATCTTAACCGCCAAAAACCATAAGTATCGTAAAAAATTATCGTAGAAGTAATAGATCTCGGTTCTAGCCCGCTTTTCAGCAAAATGCTCCATTTACCGTATCCCTAAAAACGTCACGGGATGAAAAGTAGAATAGTAGAACAAATATGATATTGTGAGAAACTGGGTAAGGCTGAGAAGCGCTTGAAAATTTTTTAACTACGTCAAAAACCGAGATTTTCCATTTCTAAACTATCTAGCCTGCGGCTATGCGACTCTGTCCTTATCAGCTTCTCATAAAGCCCTAGTCGACACATCAATAGCTGGTGCGGGAAATCACCGGGAGCTATTGATGAATTTCCCTAAAACAATGTTCACCATCCCGATTTTAGGGCTTCGACAATGCTACTTGAAATGTCGATGAAAATGGGAAATCGACAAGTGTCGAATGATGTTAGAGAAATCGCGGCGAGACGCGCAAACCGGCAACAACAAAGGATTTTGCTGCAGGTCGCTTATTTATTGTAATAATACCAAACATACCTAAAATTTTAGATCTCAGTCGTTGCCCTAATCTTCTACTCGTACATGGCTGCATACTACATGTCATACTATGTGGCTTTTCTACAAGTAAACATAACTTAGAAAATTTGCAAGTAATTTTTAGTCAACCGCCACGATGATCTTCAACTCCTTTTTCTACTCAACAACCCACATGATCAACCCGATTATCTATTTTTCCATGAATAAGGAGATGAGACAACAATTAAAGCAGGCCATCAACGATTTCGCTGAGTGCTGTTTTTGTCGAAGGGTTAGAAAATCAAAAATATAACATAACCTTCAATTTTTAGCCATCAAAAGGAAACTTTGCCAGCTCCAACTCAAAAATGGCTACAATGCGCGAGTGCACGTACGAAATGGAATGAACTTTTGTATATTTTCTTTCCAGGGTCGATCGGGTACAGGCCAGTGGCACTTCGGAAACTTCGCCACTATTTTCTACAAATTGTCATTACAAGTACAAATATCCATTATCACGGCAACACACTACTAGATCAACGGGTCCCGTCGAAGAGTCTGTGGTGAAGAAGGAGGTCATTCCGGAAGTTACACCTGACGGTATTCAGTTATTACAGTTTCGAAATTAGGGCTTTTCCAGCGGAAGCCGAAGAAATGGAACCATCAAGTGAAACACAAACCGCAAAACTACTTCCAAGAGATCGATCAAATTTTATTAACGATTTGATCAAGGCATTGCAGTATGAGAGTCAGGTAATTCCTTCAAAAAAATTGTTCACAATTTTTATTTTAATGGTGTTTTTATTAAAATTTAAATTATATTTCAAGTGGATAAAATATCTGAAACTTTAAAATGTTTGGAATTTTGGCCGGAAATCATTATTTTTGTACTTCATGATACAAGCTTGAAAAGGGTAGACACCTAGAAATAACAAATCGACAGTTTCGAAACTAAAAAAATTGGATTCTAAGGAAAGAAGCTGTTTACCCCCCCCGATAAGCGATAAGCGACTAAAGTTGAGATAACAAACAAACAAACGATAATTTAGCCAACCCTCAACTCATCAAGCAGCGAAATTGAGAGTCAAATCAATCGTCAACGTCATTCGATGGAGTTCCCGAAACGAGTCCGCGGGCGGTACGTCAGAAAACAAATTGCACCGCCAAAACACAACCTGTTTGCGAGAGATTTTGCTCATTTCATAACAAAAACTGCACTAAACCTCTTTCTCCCTCTGGCTACCGTATCGTATCGTACCTTCCCAACTGACCGAGCCACATAGGCGAACGCAATCGGAGAGCCGGGCTCGCGAAATATCGACAAAAAGGTTCCGTACGGGTCGTGCGCCCAAATATATTTTATTGAGCATTTTGTCTCTACGGTCTTTTTGACTATCCGCTTCTTATTGGCTTGTTGTATGCGGTCTTGGAGATGAGCTTGGCTGTGTTGATTACGGAAAAAGAATTAATGGGTTTATTTTAGTTATATGAAGATGTCGTCGACGTTGCAGTTGATATCAAACAATGGAGGTATGGATAAATTTTTATAGAATTTATATAACGTATTTAAAGGCCCAAATTGTAGCAATTTTTGGATAGAAAAAGTAATATTATCCGCCATTTTTGAATAGCTAAATAATTTTTAGTCCCGCTTTACTTTTATTTAAATTATATAAGTTATAGAAACGCTCAACTTTTTGGAATTTATTAAATACAGATATAAGACAACATTATATGCCGTGTTTGAGAAGTCAAACCATTTTTAGACCCTCCAAGCGCTGCGGAAGCTCAACTTTTCGTCACCAAAAAATTCTCATCGATGAATTTTGACCGTACCCCACTCCTCAGCAAAAATGACAGCGACGATGAGCTGGAAATTCGCCCTAAAAACAGGTACATTTCCACGACGCTACCCGTACACTTGCTGCAATAAATACAGGCGTTTATGGCACTCCGAAAAGTGCTAGAGTCGCTCTGTTTTTTGGTAAGTTTTATTGATATCTTACTCCCCCCTCTTAATATTGTGCATTGTTGTTATGAACCCCATTAAAAAGTACCCCGATTTGGAGTGTCTTTAGCGCGTATACTTCGCTTTTTAATATTCGTTTTTTAGAAATTCCGATGTGCCGGATTGCAACGGAAATGCGGCCGAAGATAGCGATGAAGAAATTGCCTATTTATAATCCAGAATACTGATATTTTTCGATTTAATTTATCGATCTCATCCCCCGGCTTTCTAGTGTAAAGAATTGCTAGTTAAATGGGTCCTACTGTCGTTTATGGCAAGTTTTTTGTTCTTCCCTGGTGCTCCATCTATTGCTCAGCTCCCATACACGCAAATTCTTCGTTTCTGATACTATTTGTATTTTTTTACTATGAACAAGCCTCTTTCCCCCAAAATATTGGGTATATTACAGAGTAGTTGCACTCTCTGCCATTTTAGAAGTTAGTGATTTTTTTTGATTATCGTGCAAATAAAGATAAAGCTTATTTGAAAAATGCATAATTATGCAAGGTGTATTTAATTGAATTTTTATTGGGTATATTACAGGGTTTTTAGCATTTTCTGCCACATCAGACGTTAGTCATTATTTGTAATAAAAAACACTTATCCGAAAAATACATAATTCTATAGGGTATATCTAATAGGCATGAATTTTCTGCCAGTATCTAGCTTACTTTTATGTACACAACACGCACGTTTCGGCGAAAAAAGATAATCGGCTTCTTGGTTCCCAGCCTTGTTCGCCTGCCAATAGGATTTAGCGGAAATAATTCTTATCACCGCTTCTTGAGCCAGGGGTGCTGTCGACGGTAACCGGTTTTGTTTGCCACCCGAAAAAACGAATATCACCACAATGGGGCAACGCCGGTAGTGATCGTGGTCGTGGCGGAAGGTCGGCACTTGAAAAAGCTGCGATGGTGCCATCTAGACGACCTCTGGCACTACTTGAAACAAGTATAGACTCGGTAAAACCGAAATCTGACAGCAAGGGATTGGAGGTGCGCGAACTGTACCTCCGAGCCATTCGCAATGCTTCAGCCACAAAGATGGTTACCTAAGAATTGCGTGCTTCGGGTGTAGGAGGTTTAAATTGCACGAAAGATCCGGCATCATTTTTTTTTATGCATCAATCGCGGATATGGGACGTGGAAGCGCCGCAAACATCGAGCTCGTTGAAATTGCTAACGTTTCGATGAAACACGCGCGGGTGCATGACCCGAGAGAAGGGAAGTGGCATCCAGACAAGAGACGGGTGCATGTTTAAAATTATATACATGGCTGGTTTAGCTGGTTACCAAAAAGCAGATTAACAAAAACTCGCTGCAACAGGTATTGACAACTTAGAGCTTATAGTCCTTCCTAGAGATTTCTAGAGGCATTTCCTAAAGATTTTATAGTAAAGATTTAGCTTAGGCAGCATAAAACAGTACAAAGCGTAATGGGAATTGCTATATTAACAAGTTCATTACGCATAAACAACTTAATTGATTATAATGCCCATATCACCATCCTTTGGAGCGCATCATGAAGCACCAGGCTCAAACAGAAAGTGCAACACGGTGAATCCACCCGCCATCAATACGCGCGCGTTCAGCCCTTTCGTGCTGCTCGCGCTGGAGCAATGATCCTTATTGGGAGAATGGTGATGATGGATGTGTGGAGAAACGTCTGATTGCATTCGAGCTATGGTTGCATCACAATAAAATGCAGCTCCTCCCACTCAGGGAGTCAGTGGTGGTGGTGGTGGTGGTGAGGGTGGGTATCGATGGTTGGATGATAGACACATGCAAGCCGAAAGTTTTTCTCTGCCTCCCCTCACTTTCATGGACATCGCTCGCATATAAGGGAGGTGTTGTTCCGGCTTTCTGGGTTGCTGAAAATTTGGAACTGGACGGGGTTTGTCTTTGGCAACCATTTGATAGCTTAGTTTCGGTTATACTTTCTGTATTGTGATTAATGCCCGTTTTGTAGATCAATCTACCATATCTAAATAATATTCATTTGTTTAAATTGAATTCAAATGGGCCTTGTCCTTTTAATATCGGGTTAGCAGAACTGTCAAAGACACGTTTGATATGGGATTAAGTGCGTAGCGGTCTTGAGATGCCTAGAAAGAGATTTTGAATCTTAAAAATTTTGGTTTTCTCTCTAAGATTTTAGTTTTTTCATCTTTGATAAAAATTAGAAATTTGGGGGTGAAATTTGCTTATATAATAAGGTTTAGGGGTTTACATAGCTTTACAAGTTCTGTCACCCGGAATCCAGTATGCAGGAAATGGAAACTGCAGACCATGAGTCCTGGACGAGATGAGACTTGAAGATTCTCGTATCTGATTTCCTTCTCTGCTTTGGTTCTAATTTTTCTAAAGCGTGAATGCTGAAATAATGGTTAGCAGCACCAGAGAAGGAAATCCAGAAATTTTTACCCCCCCCCCAGCCCAAGCCCGCTCAACCCACGACCAAAGCTCACCACAGTCTCGACATGCTCTCTGATTCATCACCTTATCCCCACCCATCATTCCACGTGTGTTTTCCGCAATTAGCCGATCAATCCAGAAAAAACACGTACTCTCCGCCCACTCACGAGGCGCTCGATGGACATCACCTCTTCGCCTCGTTTCGTCGTCTAAAGTAGGGGCGTGGATGGGCATGTCTGGGGCTGGTATATAGCCTGAAAACACCCACTTTATCAGCTCTCCAGCCCGAATAACTCGCAGACATTCGCTTATCGTCACATGGTTGCTGCAAGCGAGCGCTCTTTCCCGGCTTGTCACCTGTGTTTCAAGGAAATCGTTTTTGCATGCATGCCCTGGGTCGTGGTCACTGTAGCCCTGATTACCTGTCCGTTATTTTTTCGGATGGTCACGTGAGGATCGGAAATCGAGTTGAAGATCGAATTAGGGAAAGGGGTAGATATATGTTTTTGGTGGGTAATGGGAGATACATAGATGGGGTTAACTATATGGACCTGTAGGATCTTTAGGCAATAGTTTTCAGCGATCAGTGACGTTTTTGTAATTCTGAGACTACTGATAAGGTTTTTCTTTTATAAGTCGTTTATAACTTTAGCTTTTATTTCTAACATTTACTCGGTAATGCAAATAAAACTCGTATTCTAGATAAATTCCACCTTCTTTTCTCTGCCTACTATATTGCCTTTTCAAAGCTTTCAAAAATTCGTTCCCAAACGCTATGAATACTGGTTCCAATGCATACTTACATCGTTGTAATTATATGATATTGCTAGTGCTGTAATATCATATACGATATACCAGCTACATTCGAAATTTGCGCACCCCCACTTATCAATCGCGGACCGCCAAACGCTCAGGGTTACATCACCACACCATTTTTATGCCACCCTTCTCATACCATTGATAACTCGAGGTCTATAAGGGTGCACCCGTACCCAGCCACGTGTATATCAAACATCAGTGTATATTTTTTTTTGTTCTTTGCACCGAATGCTTAAGATATCTTACTACTCCTAAATTTTCTAGAAAACAATGAATCTCCAAGAGCTCATCCAGCGCCTACGCGAAATTTTCGACCACGATGAGGTGAACACCGATGAAGTCATGCAGGTGGGGCTCGATTGAATTTTCTGATTACCATTTATTTAGTTGCTCCAAAACTACAAATCGAACAGCGGTGATTGGTCAAAGTTCGCCAACTGGGATCCCAACAAGTAATAAATTTGGCTATTTCCATATTGTTTTTGACAGGTATACCAGAAACCTTGTTGACCGCGGGAATGGAAAGTACAATTTGATGGTGTTGTGTTGGCCAAGTGGAGTGGGAAGCCAGTAAGTTTTGATATTTCCTGATAACATATGCTATACTATAGTCCTCTAACTCTTTACTTGCAGAATTCACGACCATACCGATGCTCATTGCTTTGTCAAAATGCTTGATGGCACCCTCCAAGAAACCAAATTCGCATGGCCAACCCAAGAAGGCGAAAACATGATCGAAACCAGCCGAACATGCTATGACCGTGATGGTGTCAGCTATATGAGCGGTGAGTTCCATCCCAATACCGTAACCCCCCGATGAAAAGCGTCCTCCCCAGCACCCCCCGAGCCAACCGCGTGGTCTCTCTCGCGAAATTGATAAAAACACGTGGTGGTTACCGTAATCGCGGCAACAATTTCCGGAATCTCCTTTCCCCAATTATCCGCTCGGACTGAGCGACGGGTTCCGGCCCCACCCGATAAAAAAGGGGAATGGAAATAACAAGAACGGGTGATCCGTTATATGTGGTTGCGGCATGTTTTTGGGGGTTTCGTCGATAGGATTGGGGCGGACACGTGGTCCGATAGGAAATCATCTGCTTTGGGAAGTAGCTTTGTTGGCTGGGGGAGAAGGGTTGGAGAGATATCCGGTTTGATCCGGCTTTCCGCGGTACAGTGTACTTGATTGTTTGATCTTGAGTATTGGTGGGGTTGATATGAATTAATGAAAAAAAATTTATTGATTAGAAATTTTTAGATGAGCTTGGGCTTCATCGTATGGAAAATCCCTCTCACGTCGATGGAGCGGTTTCACTTCATCTCTACAGTCCGCCCTACCAGACGTGTAACGCTTTTGATCAGGTAAGACACTAATTTTTCTTTTCTTTAAGTGATAAAACATCCAACCAGCTATGAGAACTACCTAAATTAAATCTTCATAATCTATAATTTTCAGAGAACTGGCCAAAAAACCAAATGCACCGTAACGTTCTACACCAAATACGGGCAAAAGGTCGACTATCGTGGATCGAAGCAAGGACGAACCCCTACCGAAGCCATACCCATGAACATCTCTTGTGAAAATACAGCGATTGCCGGCTCACCAATGCCCAATTCGCTTCGTTAATTTATTCTCTGATGTTATCTCACCACTCCCATGTTCATACAGGTCACCCCCGCACTCCCTTCCATGCACTAAGGAATGCATTCCCCTCATGTTTTGCGCGCCCATCTCTTTGATGTATTTAATGTTTATTTCTGTGTACTTATGTTGATTAAATTAATTTGTTTTGGGTGACGACCGAAAATACACAAAAATAATAATGGTCCATAAATTCAGGTGACGGTCGGGTTCTTGGTTGTAGATGTTACAAGCGTAGGTAGATTGACACTTTTGGCGGATGAAGAGGTTGGTCCTATAATGGATTGGCATCGGAAATTGATACCTTTGAACTTACTACTCTTGACTTGTAACCTTAAAAACCGTAGCAAGACTTTTCTATAATCTTTGTTGAATAGTAGGGCTGATAAAACCGAGGCCGAGGATTGAATTGTAATCAATGCAATTGCCCCATCATTTATAACTAGGTAGTTTGTTAGTAGAATCTTAAAAACACCTACTTTGGGCGACAGGCAATATAAATTCAAATGCTATTGTAGCAGCAAGGTATATCCCGGGTATACCGTAAAATATAAATATAGGTGTTACCCAAAATAATTTATATAAAGGCTAAACTTTTTCTACTTTTCTACCTGTGACAATATCCCAAAAATCACACGTTTTGCCTTTGTGCGGCTTTGTAATGACTGGGAATGGCGGAATACCTAAAAGGTGCAACGTGAGAATTGGCACTTTCCGAAACGCCTGGTGCTAGTGATTATTATTTCCACCTGAAAAAACATGAGCACAAATGACCCGACAATGGTGACAAAAATATAGCCCGAAAAGGCAAGCAGGTAGTATTTGTGCACTTTTGTGGATAGATACTCGTCACCCTCAGCCAACACTATTTTCGCGTCGAAATCGAGACATCGAAAATGAGGATGAGTCTAATCAGAAATGATAAAAATCTATTTTTCTCACTATTTTGAAGCGCACAAAGTTTAGCTGCATATCTTGTTCGATGCTCATATAAATTTCACATAGGAAAAATGGCACTAATACCAAAGCGTAGAATGTTATTAATACTTTATGGAAGGAAGCTTTTGAAAACCGGAGAAGATCTCCTGGTAGTAGTAAACTAAATTGACACGAAAAGTTATAAAAATCTGAAACGATACCTATTTGCTCTATATAAACAAATATGACCGGTTGAACAGATTACCATATGCATGACAAAATATATAACTAGCTAAAGCGGAAGACATACTTTGAAGGACCTTATATTTTGCCTTACCTGTTGTAAATAAGTCGAAATCCCTATATAACTAAAGAACCCGTCAAGAGTCGCCACGAAAAATGGGTTATGCAGCACTGGACACATACAAAATGTCACCAACGTTTCAAATATCGTACCCCAGATCTAGAAAACAATGCAAATTTGATTAAAGCGTACAAGATGAAACAGCAGATGCTCTCGATAACCCGGATATCCCTTTTTCGCAACAATATAAGTCCCGACAACATTAATAGTACACGAACAAGGCCCGTAGAATTTATAGAAAGTCAACAAATCAAAGTAGGGGTTGCAAAATGCATATTCCAATTGTCTCAAATCGGCCATCCATAAAACCGAGAAGGATGATTCTGCAAGGACCCTCCCGTTTGTCTGGTGGTTGTTCAAAAATAATGAGCACCTGGCTGGCACATTTCAGCGTGGTAATTGTTGCTTTTAAGGGGCGGTTTAAAGGAACGGCTGCTGTATGTCTTATCGTTTGCCCTTCCGGGGTGTGTAATTAGTTGATTCAGCTGCTGTTTTTTGCGCTTTGCGAATCATTATGAGTTTTTGGGATTTGATGTAATTGTAGGGTTTTGTTAATTTGGGTGCGTGAATTTAAAAATGCGGGCAAAGATTAGATAGGTGGGTGGGATAATAAAGCTATGGCGTAAAGTGCCGTTTAGCACGGAGATAATAAGTGATTATTTCATGTTTTGTTTTGTTCTTTGCAAAAAAAAAACTCATTTTCAATAGGTTGCGAACCACTTTTACCTTTTTTAAAAGCACGCAAAAATTAGTTTGATAGGCGGTCACGCTCAGAAAGGAAGTAAGTTTTTACAATTTGCAATCTTTAGTGTGGTATGTTATTTGCAAGTTAACATTTTTCATCGGTTTCATCCCTCTTTTCACACGACCTTTGGCTTCCCGGTTAAAAATCACCATTTTTCTGCAAGCTAAACCTTTAGCAATCACTCACTGTTCCCATCCTCCCCAAAATTCATTAAAAACACAGAACAAATGGGCGCCCGAAGTTTGCTTTTTCGAAACCCTTTCAGCTCGAGGTGACAGATGAAGAGGTGCATCTCCTTCAGAAAGGTAATCCCTTCGGATGCCCTCTGAGCGATAGGGCCTTCTTGAGCAAAGAGTCTCAAGGAAGGCGCTATCCCTTAATGCAATCCTGAAGTCGTCTTTGCTTCTGAAGAAATCATGGATGACAAGTCTGCGGTCATCTCACATCCCCTAGAATCCATTCCGCATTCTTTTTGGCTTTTCCTTGGAGGGGGAGCTCTTCTGTTTTCTTCTGGGGGGTTGGTGGGGAGGAAGAGGGGGGATCCCGGGCGGCGCTATTAGAGGTTTTGTGGAGTTTGCGCCGACGGGAGGAGGCACGCTTCATGCGGAATAAGCTCATTCCAAAAGCGGGTCTAGGCCGTTAGGCATAATGCGTTGCACTCTGTTCGTGTTTACCCCTAAAAGACGAACGGGTGTGCAGTATCACTTTTGGGTTGGTTTTGGGTACCTGCCGGAATTTTGGAAACTTTGGGACTTCTGTTCCTCTTTTTCTTATGTTTCACTCTCAAATACAATACTGTTGATGTTGGGGGAAATTTGAAAATTGTTACTGTTCGAGTTTTCTAGAAATACTTGGCGTTTCAAGCAGACTAGAAAGTTTTTAAGGAATACTCGTGGAATCAGTTTTTTATTCTGTAGTTTTAAAGTATCAAAAGATCTAGTAGATAAAATAATCACCACTGGATAGCATAATATTACTGTTGGTAATAAAGGTAATAGTTTTGACTCTGTAACACCTTATTAAGAAGCTTTAAAGCAAGTTTCTCGAGCCTTATGCTTTAGAAATATGAAGCTGGAATCGCTAAAGGGGGCCATAAATTGCCTTACCAAATGTTTTATATCCTCTCAAACTGCCAAATTGCTCGAACGCTCGAACCACGCATATTGAAATGGAGGTTTAATTCTATACCTAAATTAAACCGGCTTCGAACTCACATACTATAGACGCTCCAAAGATATAAACTTGTCGATACTTCATCACAACACCCCAAAAATCCGTTCTTTGAAACCCCACGTACCCTTCCAGCTTCTCCTAACAACCCCAACGTTCCGATCGCGGAACCACCACAAAACGCAACTAACGGCCTGATTTCTGCTCCGAGACCCAAGTTTATTTCCCCAAAACCAACCCCGAACACGAACTTCCCCTCAACCAACCCATCCATTCCTTGTTCTTGATTGGCACCCATTGTCCCCCCTGCAAGCAGTCGTGGACCAAAAGGGTCCCCCTTGCTTCTGCTGCTGCTTCCCGTGGAGTTCTGACCCGTCGGTTCATAAATCATTGAAAATCCCCTTATTTTCATCCCACCCTCGCTCCGGGGAGAGCAGCACCTCCTTGTTTTGCGTTGACTACTTTGTTTTGCCCCCCTCAATCCGTGCATACATGCTATGCGTAAAAGTAGGTGTAGGCTCGCAGGGGTATTCGAGTTACGAGCAATTATGCACATGACTCTGCTTAGAGATTTAGTAGCCGAAAAGGACAATCTGGATTTGGCAAGGTGGCTTCGCGTGGGGTAGGTTTTTTTAGGTTGAGAGTCTTTGCATAAATTCAGGGTTTGTCACGAGGAAAGGGGGAGCTATTTTGGTGTTTTGGCGTGGCTAGGTTCCAGGTGCAATTCAGAAAGCGGTTTGTATAAAAGTGAATGTTCTGATAATTGAATTTTTGATGCTAATGTTATAACTATTTATAACTGCCGGTCAAGATTGGAAAAACGGGTTTCTGGTTTTTTTCTATAAACTGTCCCCAATTCCGGCGCTTGTTAATTATTGCACGACAAAAACGTTAATTAAAGGTTAACTAAAACGAGATTTTCATAGGACTTTCAATTTAATCTTCGAAAATAGCTTGTTTTCAGAACTCTGAAAGGTGTAAGCCCTCTGGGTACGCGTACGCCCTAAATTATGTTTCAAAATGGAATCACGTCTTACCCTCCCATTAATTTTCCGGAAATACTGTAATAATCGATCGGCACAATGCGAAAACGCAAGAACTATTTTTGTCAGTATGATTAGGATGAATTGATCCCCATTTTCATGATATCATGCCATGATACCCGGAAGGTCCATTTGATCCAGGTGCTGCCTATTTCCTCCACATCTTCCCCGTTGATGTGGTGTGATGCGATAAATCACATTGATGAAATACTGGCCTCTCAAACTCACATCCAGCCAGCAAAAGAGGGCCAATGCAAGGGGCAATAGCCGGGAGAGGAGCCAATTGCTTTGTAACTCCTCTCTCGTTTTCGATAAAAACCAGGTGGCCCGTGGCCGCTGTGATCGGGAGGGGAGGGTGCTCTCTCATAATCTGTCACCCCTGGGGGGCTTGCAGAGGCGAGAAAAAGAAATTCCCCAGATTTCCTGGGGCTGCCGGTCGTCCGGTCCGGCTGTTCCAAGAGGGGTCGTGTGGGGCAGAGGGAGAGGTGTCCCTCTACCACCTATGCTTTTCGTTGAAGGGTTCAGAAACCAATTTGTTGTTGTGGCTTTGGTTGGCACTAGACTGCTTGCATAATTCTTTGATTCTTATATGTTGCTGTTTTTGGCTACCGTACCACACCCGAAGTTGGTATCCGTTAAGCAGATACTAACTTCGGGCTTTCATATCTCTCCCTCTTGCTTTTTTTCCAAAAATTTGCCTCTGCGTGTTTGCATTTGCCGAGTTCCGTCAGTATATCCGGAAGAGGTTTAAAAAATAATGATTTTGATGCTATTTTGATGCCTCATTAGGTACAGAACGATCTCAAGGTGACTGCACATATATTTAAGGGTCGCTAAAAGTGGGTGTAGTCTATAGAAGGGTTTGAAGAATATTTTTAAATTCTTATACCGGTTTTGAAGAGAATTATGCAAAGTGCATTAGTAACCCTAGTTAATAAGTTAAGTCAATCCAACGATGTTTTCTCTTACCTGCATAAGCATATCGTCATCACGACCCAGGATCTCAAACCCAAATCCAATCCATCAATTCTAATCACACTACTCAGACTTCTACTTTGCACTGACTAGCTTCTGGACTTTGGAAGATCTCATGTCAGTTCTCGTTCACTGCATCCCCTCTTCTCATCGGGATTCTGCCCCCTTTTTTTCTGGGTGCTAATGGCCAGGAGGGTGAGGTGGACTGAATGTCGTCGTCCCCGAATTGCATTACTCCCAAACAACCACCTCCTCCCTTCTGCTTGCACGCCTACGCCCAATTCTCACACACCTGAAAGCTCCTCATGCAAGCATTTTTCGGAAAATATTTTTGTGACCTCTTGGGTTTTGCCGAAGCATTTGCTGGCACCGTCGTCGACCCTTGCTCTCGAACTCTTCACGCATTCTGATTTTCAGTATAAATTCATCCTTGAAAGTGCTCATTTACTTCCCATCCCTCACGAGAATCCCACCCTCAACAAAAACTTCCACGCCATTCATCGCCCACAGCTTTTTGCCGGCGACCCCTTCATTTCAATTTCATCTTCTGAATCCCCACCGGAAAACTACTCAATGCGAACTTCCTCAGAAATTCGTATTTTTACCTGGGCCCCGTCTAGAATATGCGTGCCTCTCCGGCCACAACAAGGCTCTTTGTGCTTAAATGGGCCGTTCCACGACAAAGATACGAGAAATTTTGCCCGGCTGGTGTAGTGCCTAGGATTTGAAAGCAACTTTCTTCTTGCATACCCCACGCAATTCGGGAGACACACTTGGACATCCGGGATGAAGATGGATTTGTCTGTTCTTCCTCAATCCCCCACATTGTTTCGTTATTTGCTAATTTTTATCTACAAAGCCCTTCTTTGTAATTTTTCGAAATTCTTTCAGACAAATTCTACAAAAATGGCCCTAATCTATGCAAATGCCGTCAACAAACGCATGAACCAGGCTCCATGCCGTAAAATCAGTGCCGATTCCTCAATGAGAGGCTCTTATTCAAAAAGCCGAGAAACAACACCGAGAAAGAAGTAGGTCTTTTTAAAAACTTTGCAGCTGGTGTTGGGCACCTGCTGAATGAACCCCAAACACATTCATTCAGTGAAAATGTTTCTATTCAGGAGCTGTGCTGCTGCTCTATATTCTCAAACCGGGACGGCTACTGAAGGTGCTGCTCCTCCAGTTCCCACTCAAAGTGTTCAATCGCAAGAGCCACACCCAAATATGCGCCGTTCACTAAAGGCCTCCAGGTAAACTCACATGAATTCCCCCGGATTGAACTAGCCGCTCCCGGGGGATTGATGCGTAAATAAAATTTAGAGAATTGCACTCGGTGCACACTTCCTTTGTACTTTTTTCTAGCGGGGGGCTACATTCCAGGAAATAAAGCATGAGTGTTCGGTTTTTGCAGGAGGTGGAGGGAGAGGCTGGGAAATGAAGGCATAAAGAAAATGAGTGGCAGTTGTTCTTCTAGATGGGGGGGGAATCCGTTGTTCTGGGTTGTCAAAGATTTGATGTGTTGGTCAGCAACTGCTAACCAGGGCCAGAGCATCAGAGATTGGGGTGATTAGGAATTTGCAGGATCCTGGGAGTCAAAAAATTTGGCTCAAAAAATATAGGAAAAACTTTTCTAAGAAATCTAATTTTTAGCTCGCGTCTCAGCTCGGCGGAAATTGTCTCTAAAACTGAGGAAGAACTTCGTAGAAAGCACTCATCTCCTTTGATGTCTCAATCCATGATATCTTCCGGCTCGTGTACTTGCCGGAAAGGGGATGAGAAACGAGCTTCCAAGAAGAGCCTGAAGGTAAATTTTAAAACATAGAAAAATGACATCTTTTGGTTTTAGAAAACCAGTATGCATTCTTCAATGATTGCTCGTCTCGATAGCGATAGTGAAGATGACTTGAAAGAGCGGAAAATCACGGTTCGCCGAGCTCAAACAGCCCGTGAAACTCGTACGCACCGGTCCGACAGCGAGGGCTCGGTTGAGAAATTTGCTAAGAGGTTAGATAAAACTTCTCTTTTTGAATGCCAATCAAAAAGCAGGGAAAACAGTAATTTTCAGAAAATCCAGCGTACTCGAGCGTATGCGCCGCAAGCTAAGCAGCCTGAAATTTTGAAACTTCTGCACCGATTTCCACTACACCCCAATACCCTTCATTTCCAATTTCCTACTACGCGGGATGGACTGATCTGTTTCTCTTTGGCTTTTCTGTGTGCTTCCTATTTATTGCTTTCCTGAATAAACATTGTCAAACTGGTGTAATGCTAAAGGTGGTCTACGGAAGTTCAAACTTCGAAATTTTTAGTTTAGTACGCTAAAACTTTTCGCCATCATAAATGTATTTTGATTGGAAGAAATCGCTGAATTAGAGAGTAAAATGGTTTATTTTGGTCAATGTCATCGACTTACTCCTATGAACTACATAAAGTTGTATACCAAATAACTACGGTATTTTGGAATCCGTTACACCTACTGTTTGTCATATTTCTACATCCATCATATTTATGATGGTGCCGACACGAAAGTACACCTCGATTTGATTGAGCACAACCTGCTTTTGTGCTAATCACCTTCGTATCTGGCACATATATGCCTCTACCATAACTGGACATCATTCCGCCTGAGCCAGCCGCCCGACACGCCGAAAATGGCGGTCATCGAATCGACAATTCCGCTCTCTTCCCCCGATTCTCCATTCCAGGACTGTCGAAAGTGAACCACCCGCCCCAAAGCATTTCGGTTGCGGGGCAGTAAATATTTGAGGGGCGGAACGTAACGGGTCGGATGGTCAACGCAATTTCGCATTCGCAGTCTTGCAAACAATCTATGCCGCCCCCCCCCCTCTTTTTACTGTGTAATCAGGGTTTTTGTGGACAAAGCCTGCTTATTGGTCGCCGTTGGGGGTTGATCGGGGGGCTTTGGTCAATAAGGTTTTGGTAGTGGTTTAGGGGGGCTTTCGTTCGGGAGCTTCTTCCATTTGATTTTACAGAATCGTGCTTGGAAAATAACTTTGCATTCAGAGAACTATATTCAATTGTACACGTCAAATTTGGTATGAGCTTGCTCTATTTTGAGTTAAGTAAGTGCTGCTTTCTAGAGCATTGTCAACAAAATGCCATTTCCAACTTTTTCTAATGATCGTCATTTTGGATTATTTAATGATGTATTTATTTATAGATCAAGCTTTTCTGAAAGGTGAATACAATTATCCCTGAAAATAAAGCGGAAGAGCAAGTTGAGAGAAGGAGAGAAAAAGAGAGAAAGAGAGAGAGAGAGAGAAAGAGAGAGAGAGGGAGAGAGAGAGTAAGACAGAGAGAGAGAGAGAGAGAGAGAGAGAGAGAGAGAGATTGCGCGAGTTTACGGCTGCAACTAAGCACAACATTAGTATTGTAGAAATTATTATCACCATACCGTACGCTCTAGGATACATTAATAAGTCCCTGGTTTTCCATCCTCCAACAAACCATGAGTATAACAACAGAACAGACATTTACTGACCAATAACTCGTACATTCTCACCCTACCGCACACATCACCCGCCCCACTCATATAGTATATTAGCGGAAAGTCTCGGTCTCGATCCATTGGGATGGTGCGTGATTCACGACTTTGCAAGGCCATCCCCCCACCTCCGCCCATCGGCCAGCGCCCCTTATTTGCTCAAAAAGTTTTTCCCTTCGGCGGCCCGTCACGCAGGGTCTCTTTTATGATGATACACCTACGCCTCGTTGCGAGATATTTTTTGAATAGACGCCCTATATATGGGGTGAGTTCAGAAATCTGCGGGGGATTTTTGAAGAACATGAATGGGAGAGAGGGGGTGGGAGGGTGAAAGACCTTATGGAACATCAGTTCGAACGGGGGGGTTTGACATGAACGTGTCGTTCTATTGCATGCAACAATTTGATATTTCCTAAATCAGATCTGAATATCCATAAAATTCTGATAACTGGATATGGAAATTTAGCCTAAGTAGAGAATTCCATGATCAAATATGATAACCTGGTTGGAAATAAAGGTCTCGCTTTTTGGATATGCCTTTCTGAATTATTTGGGCCCTATGCTCATAAGCTTATTTTTTATGTTCTCTTCACTGAGTTTTTTCGTCCAATAATAATTTTTTATATTATTTCTTTGGTCCCTCATACGGTAGACAGCGAGCCGCTATTGTTTTGTATTTGCCACTACCTGTTTTCTCCCAAAAAGGTGCCCGTCCCGAATCGGTAAGGGCCCGGGGGATGTGAAGAGCGACGCCCGGAAGCCCATCTCCCGGGATTCGCGGGTCGCCTGAACAAACAGATTGATCCTTTTTTGAGCAACCACATTGTCCACCACCCCCGATCGCCTCGGCACGTCATCCGTCTAAAGGGGCCCGCTTTCGGGGTCCGGGCCCGCCAGTAGGCTTCCGCTAATCGCCATTGTTTGGCTTTACATCGAAATCTTACTTATTCTTGAAATTTGTAGATAGTACTCCATCTCGATCGGAAACTCCGTCGAGTCCGGAATTCGTTAATCTAACCGGAAAATTTCTTGTTCCAATTCTGCCCTTCTCGCTACACGGCCTAATCATCGTGTGACTATACCAGCGCCGCCGCACTTGCATTCTCACCGCCAATATTTTCGCTTTTTGCCTTGCCTAGATTTTTCTACAGAATTCACTTTAGTTTAAAGGGTTATAAATTGTGATGAATTTCTAAAGTGCTACTTAAGATCTATTCATAAAATTATTCTTCTTTCATGTCGATGTCGAGGTATAATTATAGTATAAAGTCGAATTAGGTTGTATTCAAGCTAAAGAATACTGGCATTTTCTTTTTGCATGTTTTTATCTATTGGAGAAATAACAATTTTCAATAGTCCTTGCCAATCAGTTCGGCTAGATTTCCAGTCAAATATTTGACCCGATCTCGCTTCTGACAGGCAGTCACTACAATCACCTCCACCCACTGTTGATTCCACCCTAATATTGGCGAGTAAATAGGCGCTCATTGGAACATCGCGATGGTAGGATCTAAATCTTATATCTCATCTCCCAGTGAAACCATCTCCAGCGAACCTTGCGGCTAATTGTCGGCGGAAAGACTTTCAAACTTCTCACTACCGAGCTGAAGTTGCGCATTCCAATGGCTTTTGTGTTCCTCTGGGGAGAGGGGTTCGATCGGCTGGTGACAGGAATATGATTGGAACCTCGTTCTCCCCACGGAGACATGTTGCTCCACTTGATCATCCCTCATCGTTCTCCTTTTTCTCTTTTGCGGCGGGTTTCTCATTTTCTCCACGGGCGCGAGAATCTCTAGCAAAACCCAAATTGCCGAATCGGACCGTGTCGTGCCCCGGTGAGAAGGCATGACTCGGGGTAGATCTTTGCAGTCCATAGGAAATGCTAGTGGCAGAGTTTCGGGGCTTTGGTTATTATAATGGGTCTTTATTTTTCTACCTTTCTTTTGTATTATTACTTTGTTCTAATCAATCCTTGGATGTCATTCTTTGTCTTCTTAAGAGGTTTTCTATAATGGATAAACATTTTAAACGCTTTAAAACGATTTTTAAAAACCACCACTGCTCCGGATCTCCGGTCGCCTAAGCAAAACCAAGCTGATTCACAAAACGCATTATAATTCCCGCAAACCAATTTCCATGAAATCGGTCTGCTTTCCAGCACTTTGTTTTTCTCCATTTTCTTTTTATTTCCAACAAAAAAACCCAGCGAAATTTTTAGAAAACAACCACAACTTACCAAGAACACAGCCCCATTCCGTCTCCAGGAATACCCCCAAAAACTCGATACAGCTAAACGACCACCACGTGTCCCATCCCCCCTGTCACTCCCATCGCCATGTGCGACCAATTTGCTCGCTTTAATGTTTGGCAAGAAAACTTTCAACTATTTTTTTCCGCCGCCGTTATTCTACTACTGCCTCCTCCCCCTTCCCCACAAATTGTTTTCCTTCCAAAATGAGTGCAAGGCCGCCCATGAAACTTGATTCCACCGGGCAGCCGACGTTTTTTCACTCCTTTACGCGTCGTTTAGCCGTGTTGCAGTTATTTTCGGTCTTGCCCATAAATTCGACACCTGACCGATGGTTGCGTCGACGGGGAAGAGCTCTTTTTACGCTCGATGCTAGCCGCCGGGGAGTGATCTCGGATTCCAGCTAGTTGGCATTTCCGAGGGTCAATTCTGCGCTTATGAATTTATATTCATTCCGGCAGGGTTAACCAAATTTTAAATCCGTACTACTAGGCGGTTGAGGGGAAATGACCAGGGGCCTGGTGGGAGGCCCGGGGGGCTTCCACTTCAAAATAGAAAACGGCTCGAATTTCGAATCGCTATGAATAGGATGGGCTGGTGGCCATTAGCATGGCATGGCGTCTTACGTTTCCGGGTTGTAGGCGTCGAATTTGAGGATTCTATTATAAGGCTCGACCGGGATCTCTAATTTTTGGCTTTTCAAAAGACATAGGAATTTCTGACGCTTTAACCTTTCACCCACTTTCACCGCCCAGGTTCAACCAGCTGACGAAACAAAGGCGGATTGTGAAGGACTGGCAAAAGACCGGGTTTTCGATTTGGGGCCAGTGAGGGCCCACCAGGTCCACGCGGGCCAAAAAACCAGTCGGCAAGTGCACCCGCGGCGTGCCCACTCTGTGCATATTCGAGAACGGCAAATGCAGCTTCTAGTCGTTGGCCTTGGTCCCATCCTATCCGAAGAACTGGTCCTATTGTTCCTCCTACTTTCTTGTACCATATTCTTTAATTTCCTAGCAATTCCGTAATTCCCTAATGCCGATCAGCCAACCGCTGATCCAAAAAGCTTGCCAAATTTCATTGGCTAATCCGACAAGGACATGGTACCACCACGAGCCGCACGAAAACGCCCTTGACGATACCGGGAAGGCGATGAAAAGCGCATTCCTAGCATATTTAGCCATCCTCTGGCTTCCGGGGAGAGGATAATGCTTCACCCTTTACAGACTATGCTATGATTTCGATTCGACGCGAGAACTTTTCCGTGTTAGAACACATCATTTCCCCTGTGACCAGGCTCTTGTCGTAAAAGCTTATCGCTGAGCTGTATCAGCCGGTGTTTACCTGCAAAGCGGTCCAGTTGAAAT